AAATCAATGAAATAATATTAAAATATCCCTTCTCCTTGTAGTCTCCTAAAGCATCATTACAATCTGTTTTTATATTATGTAAAATTTACCAATCAGGAATAAAAAAACTTTGGGGTGCATTTCATTTATTGGACTTTTGTCATCCATATAATAATGAACTGTTAGTCCTCAATTTTGCTATCCTTTCTTTCCTTTTTTTTTACTCGATCACTCGTTACTCTGTCACTCGTTTGAGAAAAAATTATTTAATTCAAAAAACTAAACATTATAAGCAAAAATCTTTTTATTTTCATTATATTAATCAAAGAATAAATAAATTACTACAAGTATTAATAATAACATTGATAACGTCAACCACCATCAGTATCCAATAAGGTTAATATCATTAGCGATAAATAATATTATACAAGATCTTTTAAAATTATCCTATTATTTGCGTGCGAATAACGTGAATTTACCTATTATCATAGAAAAAAAATTTTAACAAAAATAAATAATTAGTTTTTTGAATAATCTTTCACAAACAGTTTTAGAAAGTTTGGGTAATATTTTTTATCACCAATTCTTTAGTTGGTTTAGTATTATCTCCCAAAAATATTTTTTCAAACTGTACTAATGTTAAATTCTTGATTTGATGTGCTGAAACTAACTCGATAATCTTTTTTGCTACATATGAATAATCTGTTTCCACAACTTGATGATTTATAAGCTCTCGACAATTATCGCACGTTTGTTGGCATTCTGCTGGATTGAAGTTTTCTGCAAAATAACCTAACAATTGCTGCCTTCTACAATCGATATTATTTTCACAATACTTCATCATTGAAAATAAATTTAAGAGCTGTTGTTGTTTTTGCATTTCAGTTCCATCTCCGCCGTTTATCATCTTTTTTATCAATATGTATTCTTTAAATGTATAAAATAGAACACATTGAGCAGGTTTACCATCTCTGCCAGCTCTGCCAGTCTCTTGGTAATACCCTTCTAGAGATTGTGGTAGCAAGTAATGAATCACAAACCTTACATTGGGTTTGTCGATTCCTTTATACAATTGGCAAATATATATTAAAAAAAAAATTCAATGTAATTCTTGCAATATATATATATATATATATATATATATCATATTAGTAAAATTTTAAAAATCACATATAACTTACCCATTCCGAAGGCAGTGGTCGCAACGACAACCTGCAGCTTGCCAGATTGCCATTCATTTTGCACATTTATTCTATCTGCCTTGTCTAACCCTGAATGGTAATACTTGGCAGAGATTCTTGATTGTTGCAGGTATTTTGCAACGTTTTCACATTTGAGTTTAACTGTGCAATAAATAATACCCGATCCACCTCCATGACTTTGAACGAGTTTTACAAGATTTTCCAACGCCTTATTACTACTATCTTTGGGACAAACTTTATAATAAAGATTCTTTCGGTTAAATCCTTGTTGTAAAACTTTACAATGTTGAATTTCTAAAAGTTTCATGACATCAAGTTTGACTTTAAGAGTTGCAGTTGCAGTTAAAGCGATAATAGGTATATCGTTATATATTTTTTTTAGATTGCACAACTCTTTATAATCTGGTCTAAAATCATGACCCCATTGGCTAACACAATGAGCCTCATCAATAACGAATCTTGCCAATTGTTTTCTATCGTACAACCTTTTTATTGCTGATGCAACTGCAGTACTTCTATTTAACATCTCAGGAGTTAAATAAAAAATTTTGCAACTTGGTTTATATTTTTCAAGTTCAGTAAATACATTTTGTCTTTGATTAGCTTCTTGTTCACCATACAAACATAAGGTTGATATACCACGCCTGTTCAGATTATAAACTTGATCTATAATTAGTGAAAGCAATGGTGAAATTACAATTGTTATCCCTTTTGTTTTTCCAGTTTCCACCATTGCGGGCAACTGGTAACATAAACTCTTCCCTCCGCCAGTTGGCATCAGCACAAAAACATCTTTTCCATTGAGCGTTTCGTTAATGGCTTCCAACTGGTTCCTTCTAAAACTTTCTAATCCAAATATATTATGCAAAACATTTTCGACTTCTGCCGACCATTCATAATTATAAGTGGTTTGCATTGGTGGTGCTGGCGGGGGGAAAAAACAAGATGATGTTGATGTTGACTGTTCTGGTGGTGAATAAAAAGATGACGAAACTGATGGTTCTGGCTCTGGTTGTGAGTAGGACGATGATGATGTTAGTAATGGTGCTGCTGGCGAGGAAAAAAAACAAGAAGACATTGATATGGATGGCTCTGGTAAATAAGGGGATGAAGTTGATGGTATCAGTAATGGTGGTGCTGGTGAGGAAAAAGAACAAGAAAATTTTGATACTGATGGTTTTGATGGTAAATAGGAAGATGATAAAGTTGATGGTTGTAGCGGTGGTGATGATGATGATGATTGATGATTAGCATCAATTTTATCAATTTTTTGAGACAATATTTTCCTAAATAGTTGCCAATATTTTTTAATGTTAATGATAAACAAATGTCTCATGAATTAAAATATATTAATATTTAGCATATTAATTGAATTGAAGATACCTTTCATTTTCCAACTCTAATATCTTTGAGTTTTTTAAATTATTCTTCTCATAAATTAATTTCAATAAATCTCTTGTTATTGAATAATATTCTCTATATGTTGCTAGGATTGTTTTTTCAGGTACGTCTATACTCATTTCCTAATAATAGATTAAATAAATATATTATTAAAAAATTAAAATTGTAAAAACATGTTACTGTGCAAATCCTTTCAATGAAATTATAGATATTATTATCTAATTCTATAATTAAATTCAAATAATCATTTATACTTGAAGAATCAAAAAGATTTTTTTTTTACCGAGGTTGTTGGTATATCATCAAAATCATAATCATAATCATAATCAATGATATTGTTGTTATTTACATTCTTTCCTTTTACATTTCCATTAGCATAATTATTGCCATTATTATAAAGATTATCTCCTTGAATAGAATTAAGTTCATACTCCTTTAAACAAGCATCATCAAGAATGTCAGATATTTTATCTTCTTCTGGATAGTATTTTTTATATGTTGCTAGGGTTGTCTCTTCAGGTACTTCTATACACATTTCCTAATAATAGATTAAATAAATACATAATTATAAAAATTAAGATTGTAAATCACATTACTGTATTTAATGCCAATATCAATTTTATTATTAGTTAATTGTTGTTATTTACATTCTTTCCTTTTACATTTCCATTGGTATAGTTATTGCCATTATTATAAAGATTATCTCCTTGAATAGAATTAAGTTCATACTCCTTCAAACAAGTATCATCAAGAATATCAATTATTTTATCTCTTTCTTGGATAGAAACATATTCATACTTTTTCAAACACTCTTCATCAAAAGGGTTAAAAATGGTGTAAAAATCCGACTCTTTACGAGCTTTCCTTTTTATTTGTTGTTTATAAAACCAATCTGAATGCTCTTCTATGCTTGTTTGGATCATTTTGAAAAACGCGTTTAAAAAAAAATAATAATAATAATGATCGGCATGATCCACTTTTATATATAGGACCGCAACCAATAATATTAATAGGCGACATGCCCTAAATAAATAACTATGGTTGGCTCGGTCTAAAGACCTCCTATTGCTGCGCCACACGCTCAAATTTCAAAAATTGCGATTTCATGATTCGTTCAAAAATGCAATAAAAACTTTTCAAAAAGGCTTCACGTGATTTTGGTTAAAAAATTTATTTTCCTTCCTGCCAAATTTAGACATGATTGTCGAGTATTAGTCTAAATTTAGTAACGATGAACTAAAACTAGTCTAAATTTAGCAATGATCCTAGTGCTCAAATTCTTCATGAGCATAGTAAAGTACATGTTTTAAAAAAGAATAGAACTCTACAACAAATAATTTTTTTGATAAAATCTCTTTATTACATTAAAATTAAAGACCTATTCCATCAACTAATAGAGCTATTTTTTTAAAAGGTAGGGCAGAAAATGACTTTTATACTTTTAAAATTTGCACAAAATTTAGGAGGTCTTTAGACCAAGCCAACTATAGTACTATTATATGTGGCACGCTTGCAACAAAGTGAACATTGGTATTACCAAGGGTTTCATCACAATTGTAACGTGATCAGTTTTATCTCTTAAACCTCAAGAATCTCCGGAACCTGTACCATTTAAATTTAGTATCAAAGAAGATTCAAATCAAAAAATTGAAATGACAGCCAGAATCATACACCCAAACTACTAAAGGAATTTAACTCCTCAAAAGAATCACTGGTGACGATGATAATCATAATGTCAAGATTACACCACTATCAATACCACATCCAAAGGAACAACCGATTACTGTATTCTATCCTACCAAGAAGATCAAGCTACCACAATACACATTTACAACCAATACCAATATCAATCACCATTATTACTACTCCTGCCGAAAATACTAATATCATTGCTACTGTCAACAATACTACTCAATCAATTAATATTACCAATAATAAATGTTAGTAATGTTCACCATACAAATTCCATGATAATCAACGGCAGTGAAAACCTAAAGATGAAAGTAAGGCAAATGATAGAAATAGAAAATGCACAGAAGAAACAATTTTCATGAATGATGATGATGGATTAATAATAATAATAATAAGGAAAGGAGGATGTTAATCTAGTTCGAATTAGTGGTGAAAATAATAATGACTATTAATCATCAATATAATCAATCTCTTTAAGCCAAGAAGAAATTTTAACAGTCACCATCATGCAGTGATTTATTTTTATAATTTATAGTTTTATATTTTAGAAAAGGTATATATATATTTCATTGATATATTTTACATAAATAAAAAATTAAATCCTATTTTTTTATGCATGTGGAAATATTACATTAGATAATAATAATAATAGCAATGATAACAATAATTAAAAAATATTCACTTACAAACAAATTGAGAGTAATTAGAGATTGTTTTTTCATTAATTCATTGAACTTTATTATTGGTAACAGATAAGTAAGTATTCCATCCAAGCGCTACAGTGTTAACCACCAACAATCTATGATCCAATGGTACAAAACGAAAATTAATTAATTGTACGATTGGCCAAATTTTATAACTATTTAATAATGCTGGTAAATATGCCTATGTATATACATAATTACATATATAAACAAAATCAACAAAATTAACAAGAATTTTTTATAAATGCAAATAATTTAAATAATTTAAAAAATCTTCATTTTAGACCTTACTTTTTCAAGTTTTCTAGTTAATTGAAGTTTAGTTTTACCCTCCAAGATTCCTTGAATTAGGAAAAAACCAGCTATAAAAGTTGGTGCAAAGACCATTTGATCAAGTGCTACACGTGCCAACAATCCTACACATCCACAAAAATTATCAGTTATAAAAAAAATTAGGGAAGGAAATTTTAATAAAAATTCAACCAGTTATTGGATTTTCAAATTTAACATATCGATCTAGTATACGATACCAAACAGCTGGTACAGGTCCCTAAATAGTCATTATTAATAATACTTTTGTATATTGTTTGTTACTGAATACATGAAATAATAATAATAATAATAATAAATACAGCTATCAAAAGACCAAATCCTCCGATTCTAATTGTTCTATAGGAATCATGATTTTTAATTCCTCGTTTTTCAACAACATGTTGAGCTATTGTATCTCCCAAGCCACATAAAAATCCTATTTCACCCAAATTTATAAATTTTCATTAATTTGTTTGTTTATCCATAATTATAATAATTGTCGTTATATCATCATCGTGGATTCTCTCACCTGCGGTTATGGATTGTGTTAAAATTGGTCTGCGTGTAAGATGATATTTGTAAAGATTTATCAAAAACATTTATTTTTTAATATCAAAATAATATTGCTAATCTTATTTATACAAATCCCGAAGCATGTGATTATAACCTTCACTCTATTATTTTATTACTATGTAGAAGATAGTCGCTGAACTTTTTATTGGCTATGTGGATCCTTTAATTTCTCCAAAAATGGAAAAAAAACAAAAACCTTTCTCTTCACCATATAGGAAAGTCGCACAATTAAAAATGAACGAAAATTTGAAAATTTCCAAAAAACAATGGGCTGAGTGAGTGACTTGCACTATATAAACAAAAATTTAGAGTAAACGTTCTAGCTCCCAATAAATACCATACAAGAATACATGCTAATACAACGATAATAACTACTTTTAATAATAAAACTAAAAATGATGGTTTTGGTGAGAGAGCGAATCGATGTATAGTGATGTTGTATGTGAGTGAAATTGAAACTTGTGAAATCGAAATTTTATAATATGAAATTCTGATTGGTTAATTTGAATTTCATATGCGTGAATTGCAAATTCACATAGATTTCATTTACGCACAACAGTGACGTTCACGTTGTTAATATAAACGTTAGTTGACGCTTACACATCGAGGATTTAATATATAAACGTTTAACATTTTGCCAATTCTTCTTAATTAGAGAAACCAAGAAATTAACGCTCAACATTATATTTGCAGCAAATTCATATCCACTCATTTTAACATCAGCTTTAGCATTTAAATCATCATCGTTATAAGTTACAGGTGTTGAAAATTTTCCAGCTAATAATATTGATTATTGTTAAGTAATAAAACGAATAAGTTGATTTATTAACTATACCAATGATAATAATAATGGCGATGATAATGATGATAATAATGGTGATGATAATTACCCATGTAAATAATTCAGGTCTTAATAATCTTGGAATTTGTTTGATTAAAGATTCAGTTGCATATTTCCTTGTCGAGATTTTTAAGGTCATGGATTCAAGGCCATCCCTTTAACACGATCGCAATCATGTACATCGCCTAAAACAGCAACAGAAAGTTTTAGGCGCGGGAGATTTGGAAGTCCAAGCTCCCCAATTATGACAACGTGATATTTGTTTAAAGATACGTGTGTATAATATAAATAATTAGCAGGTGGTTGTCGAATGACTGACCATATATATGTTGGAGGAAGAACAAGATCATCAATTTTAATACTATAACATCCGTGTCTTTGTTAGGTACTTTTGGATATAAAGTCCAGTAGTAGCTTAAAGGTTTTCGCTATACTTTGTGATGGTTAAGTTTGGTATTCATTTTTTAGCTTGAATAGAGCGGGATCGTACAAAAATATATTTACATCTAACTTTGATAGAGTTGTTAGTCGAAACGTTTCGTCATTCAACATTTAGGCATGTCGAAAGTCTAAATTGATGTCGAAAGTCTAAATTAATGTCAAAAGTCTAAATTGATTGATCACATCAAAAGTCCAAATTGATGCTGAAAGTCTAAATAATGTCAAAATGCCTGAATGTTATTGAAACAAAATGCCTAAATGTTGTCAAAATTTTTTAAATTAATCATAATTTATTAATATAAGTACAATAAAAATAAAATCTATTCCCTTATAACAATATTGAGAATAATTCGTAAAAAAAAAATCACAAATTTTATATTTTTCTATGATAAAGATTGAATTGGATGTTGGAAGAAAAAATCAAATTTCCTTGGAGATCGCGTGTCATAGTGAAGTTACATTGTATCAATGATAAAAGATGAATGCGATTGATATTTTTAGTGTATATACAATTAATCAGCTAACTTCAAACAAACTAAAAAACCCGCATTATTTTATTATTATTAAAAAATTGGCATCGTTCTCAAATTTACTAATACTAATATTATTGGTGGTGAAAATAGTCAGTTTTATACATTAATAATTAATTTGGAGACAAATATTTAGACTTTTGACATTTCAACATGTTTCGACATTACGGCAAATAAAGTGACCTTGTCGAATATATTTCGACAGTCGAAATGCCTAAATGTTTGTTGAAACTATACCTTTCGACTAACAACTCTAATTAATGCGAATCTATGGTGGGGCAGTCACATTCTTTTTTCAAAAAATACTTTCGAATCATAGTGTTTGGCGGTTACATTCAATAGAATTTCCCGGTTAACGGTGCCAATCTTACCCTAAAAAATCTAATTTAAAGAAAAAATTACATTTGAAAAATAGATAAAAACGACATGTTTGTTTAATTTTTTTTCTAATAAATCCGTGTAACCTATATTTTCTAAAAAAAAAATGGAACATGAGATGTCGCAAAGCCGTTAAATCATCATAATCACATTATATTGGCAATACAATTGTGTCATTTAACAATTTTGACCTCTCCAAATTCCATGCGGCATTAATGTTCACTTTTGTTGGCAAATTTAAAATCTAATTATTTTTAACAATTCTATCATTAATATTAATTTAATATGACAATATAATAAATGATTATGATTGTGATTATGATGCCTATAATAGGATATAATTAAATACTAATATACATAATATCTAAATATCTAAATGTTATTATTAATTTAATTATCTAGATCCATTTGACCAAATGCATACAGTTCTCTCTCTATCCGCACTAAATAATTTGTTACCATATGAACTCCAAGAAACACCGCATATTGGTGCCCTGATAATAATAATAACAACAATTAAATAGATAAATATGTAAGTGTAAAAAGGAGGATGATTATTATCATAATCATAAAATCGTATAGTTAATCAAACAACTATATTACTTACATGTGTTCTCCTTTATTTATTTTTTCTACTTTAGAAGTCAATGAATTCCAATAATATATTGATCCCTCTAATAATGGACAAGTAATTAGACATATGTATTATCAATTATATATAATTTATTTATTTATTATATGTTGTATGTATATTATTTACCCAATGAACCAGCAGCAACATATTTCCCATCGGGGCTAATGAATTATTATAATTAGTTAATTATAGACACTTATATTACATTTAATTATATATATTGAAATACCTGAAACAAACTCTTGCCCAGTTAGCTCCAGTCTTGTATCCATCAGCTCTAATTAAAATTAATTATATTTATATTTATTATATATTCAAATGACTTTTTAAATTTTCACTCAATCAACACAATCAAACAATCAAATTTACTTTAAAGTTTGTTCAATTTGATATGTTCTTAGATCAATCAATTTAAGTGAATTATCACGAGAATTTGTTAACACTTTCGTACGATCTGTATAATGTTGAATAATTAGATATAATCGTACAATAGGCACAGTATTGATCTTATTAATATTATTACTTACCAGGTGATAAACAAACAGATGTAATTTGTCCAAGATGAATGTTTGTCAATTCTTTTATATCTTTACCAGATTTAACATCCCAAAACCGTAAGCTATTGTCAAGATGTCCACTTGCAAGTGTTGTACTATGAAAAGAAAAAAATTATTAGATTTCTATTATCTCGATCAAATTTTTGTTTTGTTAATTTACCCGTAATCATCTAATGAAACCACATCATTACAACTAGAATATGCATAAATTGTTCTACTACCTAAATAGTAATAATAAAATATTATTTTTATCGATTAATTACATTTTATTTTTCTTGGATTATATTATTAATTAATGAATTTATAATCATGCGTACAATATCCTCTTTGAATATCCCACACTTTTATAGTTCTATCATGGCTTCCTGTAATCTATAAAATTAAATAATAATATTAACCAAATCCCATCATATCATATTTTATTGAGAATTGATTACTTACAACTCTGGTAGAGTCACAATTAAATCTGGCAGAATAAACTTTACCCAAATGACTGGTTAATGTAAACTATTGTATAATAATTGATGATATAATAAAATAAATAAATATCAATAAAATCAATAAAATTCAAATTTTTATTTCTAATGATTATTTTACCGCTATTCTGCCTGTATTTAATGACCAAACTCTAGCAACATTATCGCTTGATGCACAAACAATTGCTTCGTTTGTATTATTAAAAGACACATGCATTATAGATTGATGTGGTCCTGTTAATGTCTGTTTTACATTCCCTACAAGAATAATCAATTAATGAACGATTGATGGATTGACGAATTAATAAAAAATGACCGTAAAAAATTTAATCATTATTATAATACCTGTTTCTGTATCAAATACATTAATTGTTTTATCGGCACTTCCTGTAGCAAACATACTTCCATCAACAGTTGATGCAATTGTGTGTATTTCACCATCATGTGCAGTCTAATGGGAAAATTAAACCATTAGACAATCAACCAATCAGATGTTTTCACATATGTTTGAATAAGAAAAACTTACTATATTTAAATCAACAACAGTAGGAGGGCTTGATATTTTTTGATTTATTTTATCTTTCAATAATTGCTATATTGGTGGTGATGGTGGTGATGGTGGTGATGGTGGTGATGGTGGTGATGTTGATGATGATGGTGATGTAGTATTTATAACAATAAATTGATCGTTATTATACATATATGGGTTATATATTAAATTATAATTTATGCCATTAATATTGGTGGTGTTTGTATCGTTATTATGTTGTTGTTGATCAAATGGCGCTGGAGTAATGTTGTAATCATTATTAACAACAGTGGTGTTTGGAATACTATAAATATTTATAATAGGTGTTTGATCTATTGACGATGGTACTGGTATCGGTAAGTCGTTGTTATTAGAAGTCAAAATTATTCCATTGTCTGGAAATTGTTGGCGATCATGATCTAATAGATTATTACATTGATGATGATGATTATTATGATGATGATTATAATTATGATTATGATTATGATGATAATGTAATTCGTCATGATTATGACAATCATCTTGTTGCCTTTTCAAATGATCAATTCCGGGAGCATTTCTCTCATGATGTTCAGTGCAACTTACGATCCGTTCCAAAGATTCAATAATCCCAGGGACCTTATCCTGATTTAAATTAAAATTCGATATGAGAGCACCAATAAAATCCAAGTATCCTGGGAGGTAAGTGCTTTGTTTAATTATATTTTTCAAATTATCGAATGTAATTAAATGCTCTGCACAACCACCAAAATATTCTTTTGATTCATACAATAGACACAAAACTTCCTTTTCCTTTTCTTTAATCGCCAATTTTCCTTGGAAATCACTGTAGATGCCCATTATTCGTTGTTGGAGTGTGTCCATTTGTTCCTTCATTTGCTCGATTTGTTTATTCTTTCTTGGCGTTGTGTCGTATATACAAGCTGATGGTTCACAGTTACTGCAGGATCGGTTACTTATTGCATCACCATCGCATTTTATCTTTCCAAGCCTACATCTTTGGCAAGCTCTCTTGTTGATTGGCCCTCTAGCTCTTCTGTTAGATGATGGAGTACGTCTGACTGCAGTCATTATATATTAGTTTGTTGGTTGATATTCGAGATATTCGGATCGAGTAAATGTTGTTACACGAATTTATATAAATAATATAAGAAAAGGAAAGTAAATTTCGCTTGTAGTAAAAACGTTAGGGTGTTTTTATGTATGTATGTATATTGTGTGTGAATGTGTGTGATATGAATGAATATCTATCTCTTGCTTGTTTATCTTCTTGTACAGTTTGAAAAGTTTTGATTCGTTATTAAAAGTATAAAAAAAACTAATTTGTTGATATAAAATGAAATGGAAAATTATAGATAATTACAGTTATGTGTGTGTTGGTGGTTGTATTTTTTTTTAGAAAGTTTATCGGTTATAATAATGAGAAGAAAGAATATACGAGTATAAATATGAGAGAGAAAGTAAAGAATAAAAAAAATTAGTAAAATGTTTTTTTTACAAGATTATTATTATTTTATTATTGTTATTATTACAAAAAATCACTTTTTTTTTAGAATGTTGGAAAAAAATATTTATTGAATTTATTTTTTCATGGAGTAGAAAAAATAAGACTTTTTATATATATATTCATGAATATAAAAAAATTTTTATAATTAAAGTATATTTGAAAATTTTTTACTATTTTAAAAAATTCGGGATTGACTTTCGGGGTAATATAAAAAAGTATACACCCTAATATCGTTTTTGTTAACAGGTGATGAATAACACAAAATAATAAATATAAATAAAATGGGTCCAATGAATTAGTGAGCAGGCGAGTGGGGTGTTTTTTTATAGTAAAGATTATGCAAAGACTAAGAAAAAACTATTGAGAGTGTCAACTTACTTAATTGTGCATACATATATGGTGACGAATTGTGGCAACAAATAATAAAAAAAAAAACAAATCCATGCGCGCCAGCCCAGCTGACTTATGCGCCACGTCACTCGCCAAACAAACCACAAATAAATGCAAAACAATGCACAAAGCGCAGAACCTTAAATGTGTGGCTTAAACTTTAACAGAAAAGGGAAATTGTATATTAACACCTATCTACTACACATTTAATTAACAAACATCACAAGATCTTTTGATTTTAAATAATGAACGAAACTTTATTTCGTTCGCTACAACCACTAATCAGTCAATTAATTGCCTAAATTGAACGAGCATATGACTAATATTAATTATTAAAGTGTATTAGTTGGAAAAGTTCATCAAACGTGACCATAAAAACCCCGCATTGAATCATTTCATTTAAAAAAAAAATTTTTTATATTATAAATATATATAATTGAGTTAATTTATTGGGCAAATTAAGAAGACAATATTGGTTTGATTTTCCAAATTTTCTTGTCGCGTAAATAATTAATGAATGAACTGTTGACATTTTTCACATGAACCACATCCATTTTCTATATTTGAAACATTCATAAAAGCATCCACTATATAACTATTAATAGAAAGAATACAAAGAAAATATATACATCAAGCTACTGTATTTAATTATACCCGTCCAACTAATGTCTGTCAGTTTATATATATATATATATGCATATATACATATATACCACTCATAAACCATTTAATTAAACTGTCTATCTATCTAACATACTTTAAATCCAATAATACTACTTGAACCTTCTATTAAGACCGATTTGGGTTTAATTTACCACATAAAAGACCATTTGCCAACCAACTTGCAGTTAGGGACGTTCAATTATATAAATAATATAAATTATAATTAGAGTCGGAAAGCATATGATTGCAATTTTCTCTTTTGAATGACTGGTGTCATTTTTCATGATATTTTGTATTAATATTTATTTATTGGCGCAAATTGATCGTTATATATGAAAGCTTTCAAAAACCGTAATATATAAATATGGTAAAAAAAGATGCACCGTTATAGCCACAAGGCCCGAACAACGATTTTAACCAAATTTGGTATAAAGAGCGATTTTCAACTTCAAAAATTAAAAATGTGCGTGATGAATAAAATGACTTACTAATATGCACCAACCACATAACCACGCAATTTGTAGATCGGCATTATAGTCCGCAGCATTTGTAGTGATCGACAGGTTGATTAAGTGTGGGAGAAACAGCTATATAGAATGGTGGCGGTGATGTATTAACATTTTCCAAAACAAAAATCAATATATCTGGCTAAATTTGGCAGGCTAACAATGAAGTTTTATTCATCAAGTACGCAATTAATATCAAAAAAAAAAAAAATTTAACAGGAAAAATTTTTAGGAAAAAAAATTTTTTTCATATTATACATGAATATTAATTGTTATTTTTGGTCCATTATTACCAATAATAATCATTCTTTTATTTTCCTTCTTATCATGTTTTATATGATAATCTCTAACTTTCTTCAGGAGCATGCGAAAACTCATCTGAATGATGACGATGATGATGAAATGCTTACCTTACATGATAATTGTTATTGATTTTTTTTGGCATTACTTGGAGTAACATATGCAAACAAGCTCGTTATGTTGACCCTCATAACCAATCGTTTAAGTGCTTACTTGGGATGATGTAATTAAAATTATAACTATATGGGAAAACGTTGGATAATCAAGATGAAACATCATCAGATTTCCAAATATGAAAGCATCCTTGGTACAATAAAACATGGAATTCAAAACTCCTTCGCTCATTACTTGATATATTTCACGATGACCATAATTAGACTCATTATATCATCATCCCCAATTACGTTATAAATCTTATTGTTGTTATTATTATTGTATTCAAAATTTATTCCGAAACACTTTAATTCATATTTAGAAATTTCAATTATCATATCATCATAACCTTAATTGATAATGATTGGTTAAAAATTTCTGGTACGAAAAATAACTTTGTTGGGTTTTCTAAAATTGGTTTAATGTAAACAAAATAAACAAGATTTCCAAAATTCAAGACTCTCTATTAATAATAATTTTTGATTGTGGCGTTTAATCTACAAATTAAATAATTCCCAAGATTATAATAAAATTACTCTTGACACAATTTTATTTAGCAGTCACACACATTAAAAGTCTTTTCCAAGCTAAAAAGCATCAAGTTGTATGTATTTTGTATATTCTTTGCTTAATTAATAACAATTATTATGATTAATAATTATGATTAATAATTTTGATTAATAATTGTTGTTGTTGAGGTCAATAATTGTGTGACATTTAATAATGTTGAAAGGTCTAGACTTTTTAAATGCCAATACCCGATACCACACTATCATATTTAATTAGGGTGTAGATTGACTGATTTAATTTTCACGTACGTGAATTGCAAAGGAGCAAAGCACTTTTGGATTTTCCCCAAACCCTTTTTTTTCCATTAACATTTCTTATATTAAATTGGTCATAAAGTATCATTATTACTATTATTATTTGTTATTATTATTATTATTTGTTTTTATTATCATCGTCGTCGTCGTCGTCATCATCGTCATTTATTATTATTATTATTATTATAAACAAATAAAAAAAAAAAAATAAAAGCAAACTTTCTTTTCATTAAATGCAACGCATTCTTATCCATAAATCTATATTAATAAATCTAACAAAAAAAAAATTGCACACGTGCAAGTAGTTTACTGAGATTATATATGGTGACAATGATGTAATGGATGTATACACTATAAAAAATAATTTCTTCAAAAAGTTTTTTTTATTTTGTTCAACTTAAATTAACCTATTGAGTTTCAAAATGGATTGGAATTTAAAAAATTCGATTTGTTTGTGTGATATTAATGAACTTTGTACAAGGAAGATATGTGTGACATGAAGTAAACGTGCATTTTGCGTGTGCATTTTGTACAATTTGAACTTGATTTAATGATCTAATTAGAACGATCAATTAATCTATCGGTAGCAATAAAGAGAAAAAAAAAATTTTTTGAATCATAAATTCATTTTGTATTTAATTAATTTCTTTGTCTCTGTTATTCTTTGTTTTTTTTGTTGTATGTATATTTTTTTTTTTATTAATTAATTCATTCATTCAAAAAAATTACTATAACGCGCAAAATATTGTTTATACCAAATGCGTAATTATCGTTGCAACTATTACTGATAACAAATTTGATCGAATAATTATAATCGGGTAACACTGCGTACAATATCAAAAGTTTCTTTGATTGGTATTATATGGAAACTGTAATATTTATTTCATACATCACGAGACGATGATAATCATCACCCAAAAATTAGCGAAATAAGAAAGGAAATTTATATATTCAAAATCTAACTTCAATACCGCGGCTTGGTGGTCTAGTGGCATGATTCTCGCTTAGGGTGCGAGAGGTCCCGGGTTCAATTCCCGGCTAAGCCCAATAATTGAAAGATTCATTTTTTATCAATAATGTCAAACAAAATAACTCAATTTCATTTATACGATGGAATATTTATTTTTTATTAATGTGACAAACAACTATTTTCCCCAATATAAAATTGTTCAATAATAAGAAAATACTAACTAAATAAATAATAAGAAATAAAAAATAAACTTGATTAATATTCATCTTCATTATCGTCGTCTTCGTCATTAATCATTAATGGTGTAGGTTTAAATCCATTTAGCAGAAAATTTTTTATGTCTTTGTTCGTTCGGTAATGTATTTGATGGTTTCTTTTTTCTGCTTTTCTCCCAAATGTTTTTGTAAAATATTCATTAATTTCCCTCTTACCATAATTATCATCACTATCACCTCTGTCATCACCGTCGTCATCACCATCACTAGCATCACTACTATTGCTATTATTATTATTATTGTTGTTGTTGTTGTTGTTGTTGTTGTTGTTATTGTTACTTATCTCGCCATTCCCATCTTTCCCTTCTTGAAAAAAGTTATTTGGTAAACGAGTTGAAACAAATCCAGATTTTGGTAATTTTGGTAATTTTGGATTGTTGTTATTGTTATTATTATTATTATTATTAAAAGTGTTTATTTTGATTTGGTTTCGTTTCCTTTTATTCTTCTCAAATAAATTTTTTTTAAAAAAAAAATTTCTATTATTATTGTCATGTATTTTTATAAATAAAAGATTTGCCAAATACAATTTATATTTACCTCTATCGATAAATTGTTATTGCTTTTATTATTGTTAATGTTATTATCATCATCTTGATTTTCCAATCGATTCAAGAATTCATCTACTGTTGGATATAATTCTTTTCTATAAAAAAAATATATTATTAGCATTACATTCATTCTCACATAAAAAGTATTACATATTATATATACGTATGTGAAAATTATTAACCTTTGCTCCTCACTTAATGAATCCAAATATTCTTTAATCTCTTCACCTTCTTCGCGGATCTCAACCAACTCAACATCTCCATTGTATTGTGCATGACGGGTCTCAATCAATTTCCAAGCTTGTTCTTCAAGTTCTTTGGATTGCTATTTATTTTATTTTTTTGATTAAGAGTCAGAGAAAAACTTATTCCATTAATATAAGGTTATGTATGTTAATTGATTGTATATAATTTGATTAATTACCATATTGGGAAAATTTATTGATAGTTTCTCATACTAGAATTATTATATAAAAGATAAATCAATAAATAAATCAATCAATCAATAAATCAATCAATCAATCAATCAATCAATCAATCAACCTACATAATCAGAGAAAAGTTTTTGCCTTTTGGCTTCCCTTCTTTTCAAAAATTTTTGCCAAGCGATCGAAAGATTGATTGATGAATCATCATCATCATCGTCATCGTAACATTCATCATCACCTTCATCTTTAGCATCATTAATATCATCATCATCATCTATTACTTCATCGTCAATATCAACATTATTATTAATAGTAAAATTATCATTGTTGCTATTACTATTATCACTATTATTAACGTTATCATTAATAAAATTATTACTATTGTTATTATTATTATTATTGAAATTAAAATTATTGTTATTAAAAACACCAATGTCTATTTCGTTATTATCGATTTCCATATAATCAAATTCTTCGTCTATTATTATTTGATCCATTTTATTGATACGTTTATTTGAAATTTGAAGCATTTTTTTTAATTTTTTATAGAATAAAATATTTTATTAAAATCTAAATAATAAAAAAATTGATTATTAAAATTTAACATTAATTTCGACATATTATTTTTTTTTTGAAAAAAAAAATTAGATTGATTTTTTTTTTTGGATTTAAAATTTTTTTAATTAAATTTTAATCCTGTAATATGATTGGAACAAAAACACGTAATGTGTTGTCACGTTTGTCACGTGTGTAAACAATATATTATAAATTATTCTCAATTATAGTATAGTGGGAATTTTTCATGTCACATTAATTTGTGACATACACTCACTAGACAAAAGTCGGGCGCATTTTTAAACAAAAATTGCGCAAAAACGCACACAATAAAAACACAAATAACTTATATCATTTTGTAGCCTAGGTTCT